TTGACGTGCGACTTAAGAGTCGGTTCACATTCACTTGTGTCTATAGGAGACCCAGGGCTGGACTGACATCTGTTAAGCTGCTGCTACAACATGCCCAGGTGACGGGTCGGCATGTAGTCCTTGGGGACTTCAATGCTCGACACACTTCCTGGCTGTGTGGTAGCGACAATCCACTGGGGAAGTACATTACCAAGACTAGGTTGGCCGTCTTTCACCCAGGTGTACACACTTTCCGGCATTCAGCCCGACCTGATTGGACATCAACGCTGGACCTGCTATTAACCAGGGATCTGCACATCATTACGGATTGCCAAGCGCTTCCGTATGGACCGTCGGATCACGGGCCTGTGCTCTACTCGCTCGAGGGCACACCCGCCAAACCACCGGCGAGTAAATACTTACTCCACAAGGCCGACTGGAAAGGATACAGGTCTAGCGTTGAATCCACTTTACCGGCGGTAACGCCGTGCCAGACAGTAGAAGAGGTAAACGAGGCGGTGGATGTCATCACCACCACTATCCAGGATTCAGCCAACCTGAACATCCCTAGGTTCGCTCCGCAGCCCAACGCCATCAGGAGACCACCACGTCACATCCTCGCCCTGATCAGTCAGAGGAACAACCTGAGGAACATCTTTCAGCGCACGCGTGACTACAGCTTGAAACCGGCCATCAATGCGATGACCCGGCAGATAGCCAGCCTCATGCGAGACTGGAAGACCTCACTCTGGCATGACCAGCTCCGGAGGACTCATAATGACCACCGCCAGTTCTGGAGACTGGTCCGAACGTTCGTTAACAAGAAGAGGACTGTCCACCTGACGTCGGGGAATGAGCTGCTGACACCTAAGGAACAGGCTGAACTCCTGGCCAAAAGCTATGAAGCGAGGGATGCTGAGCGGACGAGAAATGCACCACCAATGCCGGAAGGACCACTGCCCAGTCCCAACGAAGAACCCGTCTTCTCTACCTTCAACCAGCTGGAGTCGACGCTACGACGCACCAAAGGAAACAAAGCGTCTGGACTGGATGAGATTCCGTACGTACTGTTGAAGATGCTCCCTAGGAAGGGTAAAGCCTTTCTACTGAACATATTCAACTCATGTCTTCGAATCTCATACTTTCCTACCGCATGGAAACAAGCGATCGTTGTACCGTTACTCAAGCCGGCGAAGAACGGGGACTCAGCTGAGCACTATCGTCCGATCAGCCTCCTCTCGCACATCAGCAAGATTTTCGAGAGGCTAATCCACCATCAGCTTATGAAGCACTGCTGGAAAGAGAGCATCATACCACCAGAGCAGACTGGTTTCCAGAGAGGGGTCGCGTGTGAACACCACCTAGCTAAACTTCAGGCCCACACAATAGATGAAATGAGTCTCAACAGAGCTACGGCGCTCATCTCTTTGGACTGCAGTCAGGCCTTTGACTGCGTGTCACACACGCATCTACTTCGCCGTCTGGAAGAGTTCAGGTTTCCTACCACTCTATGCCGACTGATCCGAAGCTACCTCAGCGGAAGATCTCTCGTCGTACGAGTTGGTACAGACTACTCAAACCCAGTCGATACCACCTGCGGAGTACCTCAAGGGTCTGTGTTGGGGCCAATACTGTTCGTCGTTTTCACGGCGCCAGTGGTGGCACTCAAGCATCCAAAGGCGGTGGTAGCAGCCTATGCGGACGACATTGGCATATATGCTTCCAGCATCAACGCGGAGACTGCACTCACTCTGGCACAGAATGCTTCAGCCACAATTGTTGAAGAGCTAGAAGAGATCGGTATCAGAGTGAATCCTGCGAAGACTGATGCTATTGTCATGTCGTTTCAGAAGGGAAAGAAGCATCTACCCACACAATTCACCGTTGGAGGAGTTTATCATAAAATTTCTACCTCGATTGTCTACCTCGGCGTCACGCTAGATAGACATTTGACCTTCTCCAATCACGTTAGGCAGAGGATCAAGCTGGCACGAAAGAAGTCGCACCGGCTCTACCACCTACTGACGTCGCCGCAGCTCTCGCTGAGACTCAAGCTCCAAATTTATAAAGCTGTTATAAGACCAACACTGCTCCACGGGGCCCCTCTCCTGCGATACCTATATAAATCCACGCTTACGAGTCTACAGGGCTTCCAGAACTCTATCCTTCGGCGAATTGTCCGTGGCACCACCCTACAAAGGGCTAAGAATCAAACAATACGCGAGGAGCTCCAGCTCCCCTCGGTACCTGAGTTCATAGGCCGGAGGCACATCAAATTTTTTGATGGGCTGAAGGCCTGTGCAAACCCACTGTTCAATGAGATCTCACCACCACCCAGACCTGGGAGGTGGCAAGGTAAACTCCCTTTGGTGGACATACTCGCCGAAGGATGTGGTCTGGTCTCTGCGGTCCAAACTCATTAATTTGTATATATTGTAAATAATAAAACATTAGCAGAACGGTCCTTCCCCGTTCAATGTCAAAGTCACAAGGCCTTCTGCCACATATGTAACCTTTAGCTATCCCCAATCCTTAAAATGCCCTCGGGCAGTGGAAGGAATTTATTACATGTTTATATTGTATTATTGTATACTATATATGTAATTGTTTCAATAAACTATTTGGAGGGTAAGAAAAAAAAAAAAAAAAAAAAAAAAAAAAAAAAAAAAAAAAAAAAATAATTAACATTTATATTGGGTATATTCTTAAAGATTTATGTTAAGGCACCAATAGAAATTATTAAATAAATAATTTTTAAAAAAATATTGGCGAGAAAATACATTTATATAGAAAGATGAATTTCATTTATTTTCCTGATTGTTGAATTCAAACAAGAAACATTGACGACATATAATAAATTTGTAATGGTATCATTGTAGATTTTATAATTATATTTTTTTAATGAAAAATGAAATAAAAAATGGTGAGGTAAATGTAACATTTTTTCCATCGGCACAACTGGAGTCACAGGCGGATTTATGGGGGGGGGAGGGGCTTTCGGGCTAAAGCCCGCCAAAACGCTAAAATATAACCATGTTTAATAGAAAAAAATATTAAAAACTATCTCTTAAAGTATTATTGTTCGTGTAATTACATTTAATAGGGCTTCAAGAATCACTTAAACACCATTTCATACAGGTAGTTCATTTCTTTCTTCTTTTTTTTTCAAATTAATTATCGTTATATAAATGAAAAACAACTTTCGGGCTGAAGCCCTTCCCAAAATTAAATCTTGGATCCGCTACTGACTGAAGTTGTAAAAATATTTCTAAAGAGTACCTTACACAGTCAATATTATCGAGCCAACACACGGGTCATATTTCTCTTTTTTTTCTAAATTTCTATTTTTCTCTTTCTTCCACTAAAGAAGGAGATTTCCAAAGAGGTAATCTTTCTTTTTTTGTGGAAATGAATAATAATGAATTTCCTATTACTTTTGAATTGCTAATTGCCTTGGCTTTAGCATTAAAAAAAAAGAAGTGTTCTTTGTAATGTTTATTTTGTTCCTATACGTTAAAACGTTTCTTGTTTCAAATTGGTCTAGTTCTTGTTTATTAATTTTTTAATATTTAAAAGAAAGTTTAGTGATGAAAAATTAATTTTTGTATAAAAAGTATCACCCACCTACTTAAACGTATTGCCATCTTATCTTTAAAAAATAATTCAAAGATGGGGATTAACCCCTCCATCAAAAAAAAAAAATTATAAAGGTAAATAAAGTATCACCTACCTACTGAAATATATATCCGTTTTATCTTTTAACAAAAATATCAGAGGGGGAGGAGGGTTAATCCCCTAAAATAAAATAAATTAAAAAAATAACAAAGTATCACCCACCTGCCGAAATATATATATCCGTCTTATCTTTTAAAAAACATATATCGGATGGGAGGGGGTGTGACCTCCCCTCCTTCCCGTCATAAAAAAAAGTCACCCATTTACCGAAATATATATCAGTTTTATCATTAAAAAAAAATATCGGTGGGGGTTTACCTCATCTCTCCCCAAAAAATACAAGTAAAACAAAGTATCACCCACCTACCGAAATATATGTATATCCGTTTTATCTTTTAAAAACAAAATTTGAGGGTGAATTAAATCCTCCCTCCCCAAAAAAAGTATAATAAATAAGTTTCACCCTCCCTACACTACTCAAACATATTGCCAGGAGGAGCACCGGAAATTTGTTATTGCCCAGAGCTTCTCAAGATCCGTATGTGGTTTAATATTGCTCAATATAGCCCTTACACGTACAATTATATTGACACTGTTTCAATAATATTGAAGGAGCTTGAATGAAAATTGATATCAACTCGCTTGACGGATCTCAAAATGACCGTGTAGGGTCTGCTTATATAATTGATACCAATTTAGCACCTACATGGTCAGTATATTGACGAAACTCGATATTCACTCAATAATATTGACCATGTAAGGGACCCTTATACTTAAGGAAGTAATTTGAGATTGAATTATTTTTTACCTTGAAGACTTCTTGTTCAATTTAACTTCACTTATTCATGTAAGTGATCTTATTTTTATATAATATAATAAATCATATAATATAATAATTTTATTTATATAATATAATTATATAATAAATCTTATATTTATATAAGATAAGAATAGTTTTAAACACGCCTTCACACTTATATTTATTTTCTTAATCTGGCGTTTTCATTATTCAATAAGCGTTCTCCATTACTAACCATTAAACTTTTTCATTGTTATATTATCACTATATTTTGTACATCAATAAATGGGTTGAAGAATAAAGGCGTGTTATTAAAATTATTCCTTTAAGTATATAAAATTTTAATATAATTTGTGTCTAACGGGAGGATACCAACTATCGAAAGTCACTAGGACTATCGATAGGACTGCCCTTAGCTTCAAACTATCGATATATCTATAGTATTATCGACTATCGCCATCCCTAGGTTTTTATAAGGTTATCTGTTTGTGGTTGTTTACCTTGTCTTGTCAAAACTTTTCTGTATAGTTCAAATAACAGTTTTAAAATGCCTCAGCCGCAAGACATCGCTGTTCAAGTATATATTTTATTGAAATTATGTGGTATTTTCTGAAAAGATTTATTCAGTGTAATATTGAGAATTATTCTACGTTGTTTTTATTCTATTTTTTAGGCTGCTGTTGCTTTATATGATAACACTGCTGAATCTGCAGATGAACTGTCGTTTAAGAGTGGAGACATCTTAAATATTGTTCAACAAGACTCTCAAGGCTTGGAAGGGTGGTGGATATGTTCTCTTAGAGGAAAACAGGTGTTTAATAGAATTTATTTCTTTGTTGCATTTTTTAATTTTTATTTCAGTTTATTTTAATTTATCTTCATTTAATCTGTTAAGGGTATTTGTCCCAGCAATCGCTTAAGATTATTAACTGAAGCAGAATTGACACTTCTTAGAGAAAGAAGAAGAAGAAGTTGGAACACTCAATCTAATAAGGTTTTCAAATATTACCTTTGATTCTTTAGTTAATAATTATATTGCATTTTAAGCATCCTGGTTAGATATCATTGTTATATGTGTTATATACTTATTTATATTTTTCAGGTGGTTACTCCTCAAAAATTTGCCGAAGGTTATACGTATGATATACCTCAAATTCCTATTGGCACAGATGGACCTCACATGCAGTATGATGTTCCACTAAATTCTCAGCATTTACCTGGTAATTTCATTTATGATGTTTTTAAAAATTGATATTAATTTTTTGCTGCTAATAGAAAAACATATTAATCTTGTAGATATATTTACTCTTCCTGTAGGTTTATTTCTATATTTCAGCTGAAGAGAGTTATGATGTACCAAAACCAGTTGGAGGAGGTAGTCTTACACCTAGCTCATCTATTAGCTCCCTTACCACTGATTCCAATAGATCATCGCTTATACAACAGGATTATGACATTCCAAGGCCTACTAGACTGCAACCAACACAGGTTTACATTTGTGTTTTGAGATGTTATGATTAACTTGTTTATGTTTTTTTCGCTTACTCCTATCTCACCATTTGTGGCTTATGTGAAAGAGAATGGTGAGTGCGGTTTTTATTGAGATGCAATCAAACCTATTATAACCGTAATGGGCAGGTCGAGATTCATTCCATGGGTCCATTAAGATAAACATATTAAAATAAATAAATTTCAACCCTCTCCCCAACCTGATTTCAAACTGGGTCTCCAGACTCTGAAAAGGTTAAAGTTAAACACGCTGTAACATGCTTAGTCATCACTATCTCATACAATAATTAACTAATTAGTCCGAGAGCCCGTAAGAAAAAAATTGACATTTGGTGAAAACTTTGAAAGCATTTTTTTTTAATGTTTATAACATTTACATTAAAAAAATGAGTCTGCCAGGCAGATTTTGTTATCTGTAAGAATGGTGGCTGATTTAATGAATACTAGACCAGTAACTCGCGGATTGAAATCCGATTACAATTCGATTCCATGCATCCCAATTCAATGCCAGTTCTTTCTATACAAGAATTTAAATCCTTACCAGATCCTCATTTAGCTCATCCAGCCTTCGTCTCCTAGGGTGTCCTCTTTTTCTTTTCCCGGACACGTTCTCCCCCATTATTTTCTTTGTCATTCTATCATCTTCCATTCTCTGGACAGAACCCAGCCAGCTAATTCTTTGTCTTCAGCTAAATCTTCCAGCTCCTGGTTATTTCCAATGTGCCACACATCCTGGACGACAACTGGACCAAAAATACGCCTTAGGATCTTCCTTTGGCCAAACGTTACTACTCCAGATGCAGACACCACCATGTACTTTGGTATATATTGGTTGAGACATGTAAAAACAAACTTGCTAGTGTGGGTCACTAAGGGAAAACTTTTTACAGTTAAAAATGCCAGATTTTTTTGGTCCTTTTGTATTTTTTCACATTTAACTCCTAAACGGTACATCAAAGCGAAAATCGTATTCTTAAAGAAATTAAAGAACATTAATTTATGCGTTAAACGAGTACCTGAACCTAATAATTTGATCAAGTGGTATGGTCGAAAACTACAGCCAACAAATGCTGATTTTTATCAAATTAGTCAAAAACTGAGAATATGTATTAATTATGCCACTGCAGCTTGGAAATCAGTTCTCTAAGAGAAAAAACTGGTAAAGTAATAGTTGTAGAGCATCAAATTCCGCATCCGCTGAGTACTAACAGTTTTACTATAGGTTACTTACTCTGCTCGAAATCGGAAGAAAAATAAAAAAAAGTGGCCCCTTGGAATGCCGGTTAATAAAGCCCCGAATAATAGGAATCCTACAGTATCTACTTTTTTAAATACATTTTTTTAAAGAAAATTTAAGAATATTGATTGGGATTTTTCACTTCTCTATCTAATGCTATTTCTTACCACACCTTGTTTGCCCAAATCTATCGTTCCTGAAAGCCTGAACAGAATCTTTACTAAGGAGCTAATATATAGTCATTCTTTAAGGATATGACTATTACTTAATGTGTTTATTTATTTAACATGTTTATTAATTATTAACCAAGATTCAATCGGTGACTTGTGAAGCTATCAAATTGTCACTTTTATTCTTTAAAATATATTGTTTTCCTAGAAATTCGTAATGTTTGATATGACTTGTAAAGAAAGTGATGCGAAATACATGAATCTGTGAGAGCTCTAAGAGACTTACAAGTTTCATGACAGATGATTATTAGATAATGGACTTTATTAAACAATAGTGTACTGCTGATTTTTTAATGTTCAGTTTTCTTTTTGTGTCTAGTTGAACTCTCTTGAGTAACTAAAAGTGCTTTGTTATTTTTGAGTGTTGACAGAAATGTGTCCTGTGCATAGGCGCAGACTTTCCATTCTAGTTGAAGGAGAGAGGGGTGATGGACCTCCAAAAAAAGTCTTGGGAGTTTTATATGTATTATAGTAAAACGAACAGTATAATATCTTCTATATATATCTATATATATAAAAATGAATGTATGTCTGTCTGTTTGTCCTTAGTGCATTACTAAACCATTCAACTAATCGCCATGAAACTTTGGAAAATTGTTCCGTACACTCCTGGGAAGGTTTCTGGCATAGTACTTCTGTCTTACGATAATTTTATATATGTAAAAAAAATAAAAATGCAACTGTTTTTCTGTTCAAAGCCGCAAAAAATGTGTCGCTATAAACTGTAGCGCCAAAACAGCTTTACCGATTTTAACAAAACTTGGCTAAAGTCTTTTCCTTAAAACCCTTTTAATTTATGTGTATAATATACTTTCCTGAAAACAAGCTGAAAAATGTTATGATGAATTCAATATTCTATTTGCCGATAACTAAAAAAGTACACAATTTTTGATTGATAATACCTATACCTATTTGAAAGTTTCATGATTTGCTGACAAAATAAAAAAAAACAAATCATCGAAATCGAACAGTTCGTTGCAGAGTTATAGAGTTTTAAACATTTACTTCTTTCTCTCTAGAAAAGGCCGTTTTATTTTGCTTCCTAACTACCGAAGGTGGGCAAGCATTTTTTTTTTTTTTTTTTACTTTTTATTGATTAATCGAAAATTTTATAATTGCTACAGTAATTGAAATTATCATTTGAAGAAGTTATATGATTCTCCTTATGGAGGTCAATACTATTATACGTTTTTTTTATTAATTTTTTAATTTAGTTTTATAAGTTCAACTCATACTGTTTCTGATGATTATGAATGATGGCGTATTCACTCAGATGGTTATGAATGTTCAATTTGAATCATGAGAAAAAAAAATCATTAGAATTAGTTTAAATTGAAGCCATTTTATAGACAAATTTGTTTCCCAACTTTTTAAAAATGACTGATATCCTTTGCTACTAATCTACACATTTGTGTTTTCTATTTTCTTTCCTTTTCATTTTGCCAGGCTAAGCCATAGCAGCGCGTGGCCGGGTAAAGCTAGTTATATATAAAAATAAATTTATATATATTTTTATAGATTAGATTTTGCTTTGGTACACTTGAAAATATACTTACAAAGCAATTGAAAATATTACATATTTGTATTATTATTTAAAGTTTTGAGACAATGAGATGAACTCTCAATTCACGGATACTTCAAATTTGTCCCAGAAAATGTGATCAAATCTTCATGTAGAAATGGAAGGGTGTACATGAATGAATCATTAAATCCTAGGATATGTTGCTGCATAAAATTATCTTTGAATATAAACTAAAAAACTTATAATAATAGGAACATAATGCTGGTAAAATACTTACTTACCTTGTAGGCCTTAGTATAGCCATTTAATCGGCTTTCCTTTTTATTTTATTCACTCATGTAGGTATTGTTGTAAAACAATATTCCCACACCCTTTCTATTTTTATTGGGAGGGCGATCACCCCTCCGAAGTCTGCACCTATGGTCCCGTATTATTAACTTTTATTAAAATAGTCTGTATTATAATACGAGTGCCACCTAAAATTGAATTTAGCTTCTGCATTGTTTTATGCTATTATGCGAATGTGTTATATAATAAATATTTGTAGGAGGAGGAAACATGCTCTGCTTATGATGTTCCAAGATCTGGGGCAGAAGTGCCTATGGATCTTGATTCAGCATTAGATTGGTTGGGACGACTGGAATCACAAATTACTACAGCCACATCTAGATTACTTGGGTGTGCTGGTCCTCATTGGCGTTCTCCGCAAAGACTAGAGCCTAGATTAGCTGAAATTAGGGGTGCGGTTATGTCTCTTGGTACTTCACTTCATCAGCTTACTGTATTCATTCATCCAATTTTATTATCACAGCAAGATAAAGGTATGCAATATTTGTTTATTTTTTATCAGTCCAAAATTTATGGAATTTTTGTTTGCTAAAATCATAAAAATTATGGTTGGGAAGCTGGTTGGGGCCTGCAATGACTGAAAACACACATATAATTACTTAATTTTTTTAAAGAAGTTGGTCGGGGGTGTCGGCAAGATAAGATACTATATATTATAATTATTGAAGAAAGTTAGTCGACTGTTCTACATATCGTGGGTGATAAATATTCAGGACGCAGTCATTATAAGGTTTTTATTAATGCCGACGTTTCAACCCAAACATAAAAGGGCTGAAAATTTTTAAATACAATCAGAGATATAATATTATACGACTAATAGTGGTTAATAATGAAAAAAATATAGTGATTGATGGTACATGAATCATTATTATTTTTTCATTATTAACCATTATTAGTCGTATAATATTATATCTCTGATTATATTTAAAAATTTTCAGCTCGGATGATGACTCACATGTTTGGTTTGAAAAGTCGGCACTAATAAAAACCTTATAATGACTGCGTCCTGAATATTATAATATCACCCATTGCTATATAATATGTAGCATTGTATATTGACCGCACTAGTGTCCCTTTAGAACAAGTCACAAATACAGAATGTGTACAGAATTTGTGTTGTTCACTGCCATTGCTACACCCAATAATCTTCCCAACCATTTTATATACAGTCAATTAATTCTCCACCATCTTAAAAATTATGCATTTTAGTTAGTTTTAAGTTTTTCCTCATGAGGTTTGAATTTTAACACACTTTATAATCGTATCTAGTTTGTCTTATACTGGCTGGATAATGTTTTAAGAATTTCTCATGCTTAAATTGTGGGCATTTAACGAACAAAGGCCAAAATTTTATTTTATATATTCTAAGTTCATTTCTTCATTTCACAAACCTTTTGCTTATTGGTTAACATCCCAGGGATATTCTACGGATTTTTGGCCATAAGTTGATGAATAAGTTAGTCAATGCATGTTTTTTTTTCACTTGGCAGAAATCATCTATTGTATAGTCTTTCTTGAACTTGGTGGCTTTTGCTTGATTACCCATGTCATAACCGTTAAGTAATTATTTGATTACCTAAATCATTTAAGGAATTACATGTCTTACCTCTGCTAAGAGCTTTAGTAATGAGGTCCTTTAGGTGTCATCCAATGGAAGACCTAATTCCCAATTAAATAATTATAATACTCAAAGGTCAATTGAAGAAATTTTGTAAATATGTATATAAATATATCACTTTCTAACAAATGAATACATGTACTTTATTACAGTTCTTGGAAATAAACTAAGTTTACTATTTGACAATTTGGCCAAAGCAGATGTCATTGTAAGAGAAGCCTCTAATACAGTAGATGCTCATGGTTGGTCTGTACTTACTCTTGGAGTTGAAGATGAAGAAACGCACCAATCAGATGCTCTAGATGACTTGGTTTCAACTGCAGCTTTACTTACTGATGATATTCGTCAGATAGCTTCTTTTATTCAGGTACATAACTTTATACTTCAATTACTCAAGAGTATAATGTTTTGTTGTTATATGTGCAAATCACCTAGATCATTATTACCTTTTATTATTTCGTTCATCTTAAGTTATTATTTTATACCTACATGATTTTTTGACTTTCCCTATTATTATGAAATTGAAAATTTGGGAATAAGTCTTAAGGAGCACGACAACATTGATATAGTTTCATAAAAAGCAACAACACTATATTAAATTATTTACCTGAATAGAAACTTATTTTACCAAGTATTATTAAAATTTAAGTATTAATAAATGAACAAAATAGGGACCAATTCAGTTCAATATGTAGTTTCATTAATATTGAAAATGAGAGAACAGTAATTTATTTTTTTAAAAAAAAGCAATAGTTTTTTTATTATTGTAATAATCGTGTAATGTTTATTAAGCAGGTTGGTTCTTAATGTTACTCCATCTCAAACAAGGAAGTTTTTCATTGTATATTCTATCCCCTGACAATGCATGATAATGCACTTCGATATTTCTTTTAATTGTAACATCATTCCATGAATCACTTTTTCTCATCAATGGTTAGTTGTTGTTGGAACTATGAAAACATTTTATACCAATGAAGATCCTTTCAAATATCTTTTGAGATTTAGTATGGTGGCTGTTTGGAATGGTACATTCTACTTAATGTGTAACTATTTTGTTTTAATGATCATTAGACATTAATAAGATAACAGCCAACATAAACAGTTATTGGTTTTGTTGTCAAGTTTCTATTATTTTTATTATGATCATTGCTAATAAAACTATTAATACCTTTTAATGTAATCTATTTTTTTTAAAACTTAACTGTCCAGTTGGTATTTTATTATGTATGTATTTTTTTTTTTCAATTAGAATTCATATCGTGAACAGTATACTCAACAAACAAAATTTGTTCATGTTTATAAAATTATTTATGAATTTCAGTTATAATAATTTTTATTATGATTTAATAATTATTATTTTTTTTTTTTTTATATAGGGAAATTCAACATTGTTGTTCAAGAAAAGTACACCAGTTAGCTGTAATGTTGGAGAAGATTTGTCTTACATGAATTTAGAAAAGAGGGAAATAGAAAATGAGGAAAAATTGAAATCTATACTTCCTCCACCTCTTGATTTACATGATAGGAAGGTAATTGTTTAGATCAATAAACTTTTTTTTTTTTCTTCTGTAATCCATATAATTTTAGTAATTGATTCAAATTTGATTACCATGATGGAACACCACCTCTTAATGATGTCATTTGGCACCATGTGACTTTTCCTTGTTTCTATATTGCAATATGGTTCTTTGAAGGTTTCATTTGGGTGATACTGCCTCTGAAGTTTTTTTCCAAAGTTATACTTTTTCTTATTATTTTTTTAACCAAGTGAGATCGTAACTTGTATTATGTTACATTCAACATTTCAAATAAATCGAGATATTGAGATCAACTTGATATGTCTAGCTTGTTTGAGACACGTTAATAGAAAACTGTATGGAAAAAGGTCATATTAGTTTTGTTTCTATCTTAAAATTTTTTTTGCTTCTACTGCATCATCATTATTTTGTTTTGTTACAGATTTTGGATTTCTACAATGGCCAGTACTGGGTGACTTCTGGAAACTTGTCATCAGCTATTGATACATTGCTTAACACGGTTACACAAAATCAACCTCCTAAAGCATTCCTGTCACATGCAAAAGCTGTAATTTCTTGGGCACATAAGCTCATCAGCATTGGAGATGCTGTCGAGAGAAATCTTATTGAAGGTCCCTTGAAAAAGGAAGTTGGGACTTCGATTAATCTAATAGCGGATGCTACTTCTAATGTAGTCCACAAGACAAAATCAGCTGCATCGCATTTCCCCAGTGTTTCTGCTGTCCAATATATGGTTGATTCAGTTGTTGATCTTTCACATAAAAGTAAAACCCTTAAACAAGTTCTTGCTCATTAATGTTTTCCATCTTCCACTTTCTTCTAAATATTTGATTTGGTTGATTTAAAAACTAATTTTTTTACCGGCATAACATGATTTTAAGTTCTTTGTAGCCTAATCAAGTGGTAAAGATATTTCAGATTTCCTATATTCATTTGTAACATTGTCTTTGCTTTCCCTTTATTATTTTTCTAAACTAACTCATTTAGTCTTCCGTAATGCTGTCTAAATTTTTCCCTTCCTACAATAGTCCCTTCCAGTCATTTCAAATACTGTTTTACTTGTATGAAGATGGATAAATTATTATTAATGTTGCCATTCCTATTGGTATGGAGATTTTTATGTGGACTAGGGTTTGGAAGAGCTCTTAAGTCTGAATTTTTTTTTTTCAGAAGGCTCATCTAAGGGATATAGTTTCTGATTTTAAACATTTATTTCAATGTGCAAATCTTTTATTTTGAAACTAAAATTGCTAATGCTTATTAAGTTAAACTTGGGCTTGGGTGGGCAGATGGATGGAATCCTTCTTGAACTCAAGCATTCTGAAGAATAGGCTTTCCTTGTTGTTCTATAAACTTAGTTGGGCGGGTTATTTTGCCAATATGGACGGAGATGGAATCTCTATAGTTTTTAACTCTGAAAGAGTAGCTGCTGAAGATGGAGAGTGGCCTGATTGAGGACGGCGTAATAGCTGCAACTAAGCAGATTTGATGAATTTGTGGAACACCAGTAAATTGAGAGCTAGGCCACAAGTCACAACTATCAAACAATATTGCAGAAGGAACAGATGTATAATTTCATATTTATGGAGAAAATATTGACCTGAAATTCGGTTATATGTTCTTTTGCTTCTAGTGTATTTCTGCACATTCCGACGTATGTGCTTGAAATTGCTTATGTGAAATGAAACAACCATGAAATTCTGTTTGAAAATATTTTTTAATTTAGGAGAAAAAGAAAAATCTAGTTGCTAATATAATCTCCAAACTTAATGTTAAAGAACTTCAATTATACCCATTTTTATGTTCTCGTTTATCCTAATGTTAAATTTATCTTGAAATGTTCAATTTGAATTGGTGTTAACTGAGAAATTTTTTAACATTAACAATTTTTAAAAAAATTATTTTTCTGTTTGTGTTATTGCCTTATCATTTCTTTTTTCTTGGTGAATATTCAAATGTGTAGAGAATAAGGTGTAAAAAATATCACAGAAAATATATTTTGGTTTTTCATATTTCAAATTTTCAATAACTGAAGAACATTTTATTCATTTTTAAAATTTAATTATTTATAATAGTGGAAATATTGTTGCCTTCAATAGATTTAATGTTATGAGTTCATTTCACAAATACTAACTTATTTTATGTTAAAATATTTTAGTTGGTATGTAATTTTTTCATTTATTATGAGAAGCATTTTTGTATAATTATTTTGCCTATTGTATTCCTATTTGTAAGGATAGTCCTCCAGTTGTGTTGAGATGTAGCAGCCAGGATAGTATATTGTGACAAATATTTATATTTGAAATAATTTTTTTTTTTTTGTAGTATAAAATATTTTATTAAGAGATTTTGTTAAAGTTCTTGAATGATATATTGATAAGGTTGTTATTTTGTAAAATCCAATTTTATACAATATATTACTGAATAAACATACATTATATATATATGTGTGTGTTATAAAACCTAATAATCTCTCCACTCCCTTATTATTTGAATACAGTTGAAGAATGGAGTAAATTAGTTCTTGATGGCCACACCTGGTAAGCACCTTCGCACAATTGAATTAAAGCCATGTTGATTTGAATATGGGCTGTTCATCAAGGTATTCAACAAGCCTGATGTGAGAGGGAAGAGATGGGATGTGTGCTCCATGATTTGGACACTAGATTATACATCTTGCAATCCTATACATGATACAAGATTTTATTTTCTAATTTCTCAATTCACATTAGAATAAAGATATATATATATATATATATATATATATATATATATATATATATATATATATTATATATATATATATATATATATATATATATATAAAATTGTATATATTGTATAATAATTATAATATATGTACATAACATTTTTGTTGTATTTATAAAATTCTATGTTTTAAATGTAAATTTAATATTTGACAGGGGCTTGAGAAAGTTATCCATGAAGCCCTTAGTCTCTCTCTTCGGTCTTGGTATTTTAAGATTAATTCTAATGATTTGATTATTTAATTTAAGATTAAGCCTTGATAGTTAAATAAGGAAGGACTAAGTAGTCTTATAGATTACATGGATACATCATTCATAGAATAGAACTACTGTAAACCCTAAAAAAATTCTCAAAGTTATTAAATAACGCTGACATTATCTTTAAAATAAAATTTTACAAACTGACAAATGTAAATGATAAAGTTAGATGATAATTTATGCCTTGAATATGTTGTGATTTTATCAATCAGTCATTTTGAATCTGTATTTCCCACGAGTTGGAATAAAAGGTGGGGGCAACCCATGCTACAGTATCTTTCCGTCCCCAGCCTCTGAACAAACAGTTTAGTTCTGCTTGAGACCAGACAAGTTCCCAGCTATTGGCCCATCTGCTTCCAATTATTTTTTTAAAGATATCTAGTTCAAGATTGATCCAGTACAATTCATTGATTTTCAATAGTCCTTTGACCAGAATAGAGCTTGTAGAATTTGTACCAAGAATATGAACCATATAATTAACTTTTATAATTATTAATTAAATTATGTTATAAAATATGTATTATATATATGTATATATGTATGTATATATATGTATATATATATATATATATATATATATATATATATATATATATATATATATATATATATATATACACATAAATATATATGTGTGTTTGTGTGTGTGTGTGTGTGTGTGTGTGTGTGTGTGTGTATTGAACTAATGGTACTGAATAAACATTTTGATTCCATAGAAAATAAACATTGGAATCTAGAATAATTTCATTGAATTAAGGATTAAGGGTTATTGTCCTCTATATTAATATTCCTAATTGAAAACAAACAAAAACCTTACCTATTTATTCATTAAAAACAATAGACCAATCCAAAGCAGAAATATTTTTAGATGAAAACATGAAAAAACCAAGTGGGTGGAATTTTTTTCCTGTCAGTGTATAATATTTTATTTGATGTTCAGTCATGATGAATATAAAATAAAAAACAACAAAATAATTTTTTTTTTCATTTCCATAAGTCACATCCACATTATTATTCTGGGTTATCATGCAAGGTAAAATTATGAAAATGTTTCATAATTTTATTTAAAATATTTTGTTCTTATAAACTGAATCTGGTAGGTTTGATATGAACAAGTATTGTTGGTTTGTTGTTTACATTAACATTAAAGACTTATCTAAGTATTAGAGGGTTAATACTTAATGTGTGCTTGAGAAGTAAATAAAGGAAATCACTTGGATTTAGTATTATGCTGTGCCAGCAAGTAGCCATGGATCTATTTCTATTAAGTGAAAAAAATCTTATACGTAATCTATTTCTTACTCCTTGAAGTTTTGGAGATTTTGATGGGAAAATTAAATAAAATGGTAATGTGAAGTTGATAATCCTGAATTTTACTTCAGTTATGCAGACATGTAGGACAAGAGGAATTTTTATTTTGCTTAAAAAGGAAAAGGTATCATTTAAAGAAAGCTACTTCATTAAATGTAATGTGAATAGTGGTAACTATACAGGAAGCAAATTTGTGGTGAATTTTTTTTTTTGCAGAGGTATATTCTAAAATCCTATAATGAAAATTCCACCCTTTTATCTTAAAAAATATGTAATTAATTTGTCTTTACTATGTAGTTAAGTTTCTTTCAACCAGAGACTAGATTCTTATTCAGAAGAAAACCTATAATTTTGTAAAAAAAAATATGCAGGCTATGAAATAGACTCAACATCAATTTTGTTTTTGTTAAATTTAGATTACAATACTACACAGTAACATAAATAAAATATTTTCCACAACTCTAAGAAAGAAAAACAGATAAAAGTAATTTTTATCAACTTATGTGCATATAAAAATTTGGACTATTCAATACCATGTTAATGAGGTATTTCAAAAAAGATATCAAGACAAACAATAGAAAACAATACTAAAAATTACAATTTCTTAAAAATTCAGCCTCTGGTTACACTTTTTAATAATTTGTTCTTGAATTTTACAAATATATATATATATATAAACAATAATTAGAAATAAATATTTAATTTAGGTAATTAATATTTATTTTATAGTAAACTAAACAAAATTTACTTCTAATACAGGTAGATTTTCTTTATTAAACCCAATTAAAGGTGACTTTTAAGTGGCTCAACAATGCTATGTTCCATTTTTTTGTAAAATCATGGAGTATTCTCAATTTTTTTCGATCATTCTCCAACTACAATACAAATATTCATACCCCACTTTTAGAAAAACTTTTTTCTTTAGTAAGCTTTAAGTCTGTACTATTTAAGTTAAAATTTTTAGTGAAAAAAATTTGATCCATTGCTGTAAAAAAAATATAATTTGATGTTCTGCCACCCTGAATGTTTGTGTTTTCAGCAAAAATAACTACAGTAACTTATAGTGAAATATTCATTTATTTTTTTCCATGACCTGAATGCATTATGATAAATATAATTAAAAAAATACTTTTGATTTATAAAAAAACATGTTAACAAATTTTGTTTATTCAAATATTTATCATTAATTGATAATCATAAAGTGATAATGGAGAAGTGTTTTTTAACCAAACACTCCATTATGGTAATTGATCAAAACTGTATTAAGTGACCAACTAAATGTTCTTATTCTGATTTCATGAAAATAATCCAAGCGGTTATAGATTATCATGTTCATTAATAATTATAAGCTATTATTTGAAAGTGTTAATAGTGGCCTCTATGTCATGTAGAAAGAGGATTTTAATTTTCCCAATTATGGCTATTTCTGAATTTTTTTTTAGTCATCCCTCTTTATCGGCTCCTCTCATTAGAGACCTTGCAGTCCAGTACCATTCCGATTTGGATATGTGTATTATCTCTGGTATGTTCAATAAGTGTGAAGTATTTCTGATATAAGATATCCCATTCCTTGTAAATGTTGCTATAACTAGTATAAATTTACATTTCTGATAAAAAATTTTAATAAAGCCATATTAATTTACAAATAACAAATCTCTTGAATTATTTTCATGAAAAGGTAAATATTGGAATAAGAGTATTTAGTTGGTCACTTAATACAGTTATGTTCAATTACCATAATGGAGTTTTTGTTAAAATTTTATATGATGATTAAATTATTCAAATAGTCATAACAGATGGGTTGAAATTAATTCTCCTCTACCTTGCCGTTTATGGCATATGGGGAAGTTGAAGTTGTTCTAGAAATACAACCAAACCTATTCAAATCAGAGTGAGAAGGTTAAGATCCATCCTCATAGATTCACTGAGAAATAAATTTTAATCCTCCCAGACGACATTCGAACCAGTGTCACTAGACACGAGAATATTAAAGTTTACCCTTTAACATGCTTGGCTATCACGAATTCATTTTTGTAGAGTGGAATATCTGTCCATGTTTCCAGGCCATTGCCTTCTCCAACAGGATCAGTTAAGCATCCTAGTACTGTTTTAATCTGTAGCCATCTGATTTTTTACTTTTAGGTTTCTTGAATCATTGCAAATGCAAGTGGCGTAGGTAAATCTATTAATTACGACATGTCATAATAATCCAAGGATCATCTTATTTGTCATCCAGGCAACATTGTCCTGTCTATCTGAGTCTTTTTGACTTTGTAGCCTTTCACAGTATTGGTTTCAACAAATCTATCAGGACCTCTAGATTGTTTTTGTACATTCACTAATTATAAGTAACAGTCTATACCATAGGTGGGAAACTGCGGCCTCGGAGGCGGCATCCAGACTTTTTTGAGCAATATTTATTAATCTAGTGCTATTATTAATTAATATTTAAGTAACAAAAATCTGGAAATTAATAGAATAAGGTTAAATGTATATATGTGTATATGTGGGTGTGTGTATTTAGTGATAAATAAAAATATCAACAATTAATATAAAGAATTATTGCAGCCTCTATTAGTCTAATGACAAAAAGATTCCCCATCTATGAACTATACCTACATATATTCAACTTAATTCTATTATTTTTCCTAACTTAAATAATTAAGTTATTGGCACAAAACATTTGGAGGAGGCAGGTTCCCAACCTAAGGTCTATATAAAAATTGAAACACCTAAGTTGAATTATTAAATATCTCTATTAAATTTGAAAACAATTAAAAAATCTATTTCAGTTATTATTTTTATTTATGATAATAAAGTAATAAAATATGATGAGTTGTGAATATAGAAGAAAACAAGGAATTTTAAAAAATATATATATTAAAAATACAATTAAAAATAAATATGATTTTCTCTATATACATATTTACAACTACAAATGGCACATATCTCATAAACAAATGTATAACAAGTTTTAATATTCTGTGTTGTTCAGAATATTTATAAAAAAAAAAAAAAAATGAAAAAAAAAAGTTAAAACCTATTATAATTCATTCTAAAATTAACAATGATTTTTAAAAAGAAGAAAAATGATAAAATAAAATAACAATAAAATGGACGCTATTAGACATTAATTTAAAAATAGGTAATACAGATGGTGGAAAAATATTCTACAAAGGAACTTCAATACACTTCAGAGTCTTGAGAGCTTGCTTAGATTATCCATATTCTGAACTAACAGTCAGAGAGAATTCACCAGGAGATACATATGTTTTGTGATACCACTGGCGTGTATCCAACAGAACTGAAATAATTTCCATATGTATTATAAATTAAAAAGAAAAATACCAGATAAGAAAATAATTGAAAAATTCAAGAACAAAAACATTACTTACGAATGTCTCCAGGATTGACAGTGAAGGAAATGGGAGTGCAAACATTTTCACATTCTGGAGGCGGATGCAGATGCCAAGTTTTATGACCTCTTAACTGTGCCTGCCACATCAAACGACTAATGTAGTCGAGCTGCAAAAAATTCAATAAATAAATTATGTATTAAATTATACAACTAACTTAAATATATATATATATATATTTTTTTTAACTCTGTTTTATTTGTAATTATTTATATTTGTCTTATTAAAGGAAAATTATTTATAATCTTATGATTAAAGTCTGCATAGTTATCTTGTAAATAAAAAATAACCATGATGTTTGTTCCTTAACCACTCTTAATCTTATCAATTTTTTATATTATTATTTAGCATAAAATAGGGAAAATATGGTTTCTTTAAGTTTAGAAAAAATTATGATAAGATACAATTATTGACCATAGAAAAAAAAAATATAGCTTTCAGCAATAAGATTTCTTTACTTATGTCAAACCAAAATATTAACCAAATTATCATAATTTATTAAATATAAAAAAGTCTTAAAGAAGTAAGCAAATTCTTTGAAATCCTTAATTTGATAATCATTATATTTGAGGATATGAACTGCTGAAACTCTCAACATCCATCCAGTGAAATTAACAGGAAAGAACAAAATGTAATTAATATTGATTATTGATAAGTAATAGAATTTTACAATAACTTTGGAGCTTTAAAAATAAAGAATTGAGAAACGGATCAGTATGGACAGAGTTAGACTTTTTTTCTGACAGTCAATAGGTGTGATAATAATGACTCTTGTAATCTAGATTTAAAACATAGAAGTAAGGAGTTTAGCAGTTCAAAATCTCATTTCTATCAACAAAAATATTATACTTACATGCATAAAGGCTCCTTCCTCGAAACCCATGAAAATAAAATCAACATGAGAATGTTCCGCATCAACAGGAAGAAAATGTGGTTTTGTATAGTGTCGCCGCATTTTCTTCAGCATTTCTCTATTGCAGTTGCTCCTTTAAAATAAAATAACTTCATATATAAACATATACTGAATAAAAAACTTTTATTACACATCTATGTCCTGTATTATTTTAATTAAAATTTAAAATATAGGACATCTAATTTAGAAATGTAGAATAAAATTGTAGGTTTATATTACGTTAGTCTCATGAAATAAATAAATTAAAAAAATAAGAGGTTTCAAAATATTTGGAAACATTACTAAATATGATTATGTGAAAAATATATTTCCAATATAATGTTTTTATTCATAACACTGTTTTAGAGATATCTCCTATCTTAAGGGTTACAATCTATAGCGCTAACATTGTTTGTGATTTTTTCCATGGTCGTAAAATCTGATTATACTAATTTATGATAGTTTAATAAAAATAATTTACCTACAATATATTTTTCTAGGAAATAATCACATTAATTGTGCTATGAATAAAATAATTACAATGATTGTATTTTTTTCACAATATGTATAACAAAAAAATAAAAAATCTATATCTTAAAAAGTTGATATTAATTGTTTAGCAGTATCAAAGTAATATTTTATACCATGTGTTTTTAAATCAAGCTAAACTCAAAATGAATGAAAAAAATTGCATATAAGACTCAGTAGAAATGATTATTCTGAAGGGATTAATTGATATTACTTTTATGAAAGATATGAAAAAGTAATTAAACGGATATGTTTAAACAGCCAACAATAAATATTGTTCTTCCAATCGGACACAAAGAATTTTTATGCTTCATTCCAAAGGATTATGACAAAAATCCAAAAATATTTGTAAATTATTTAACAGAAAGGTTGGTAGAGCTTGGGAAACTACAGCTTGAACTATGTGATGAAGATGACTTAGTTAATTTCTTGAGTGGAAAAAATGGAACCTGTATTGTAAATTTGTGGAGTGATGACAATCACAAACTATTCACCGTTACTGCCCTACTCAGAGAACCAACAAGGGACATAGAAGCGTTAGAAAAGAACAAAAAACCAGTAATAGAATTTGTGAAGTGCCCTGGTAAAAAAGGAAAGGTTGGGGGAGGCTTACTCGCTAAATTATGCAGAAGACTTTTTCCATAAAATACCTTATCTACTGCTCATGTCAATAAAATGATTTAATTTAAAACAAATTACATGAACTAAATCAGAATGGAATGAACTTACCATCCAATATACCACGGTTTCGTTCCTTTTTCATTGTAAATCCTTTTCAATGGCATATTAAATACATCTTCTAAATTCTTGAAATCGGACTTGAAGTTTAAAAATTGACACTCTTCTTCAACACTTTCAAATGCACCAGCAGTGTTTAGAAACAGATCTTTGAAAAAATGATAATCAAAGGTTCTAACAGCAGACCAATGTTTTGCAGCTCCTTTAATTATAATAGGCTTATAAGAATAGGCATATCTAGAAAATTCTTCCCTAGTTATATTAGGGAGTATTACAGCACTATTGAGATTATAGCAAATACTACAATCAGCTATAGGTCTGGTTGCTTCCCAGACTATATAATTATTCGGTAAAATACATTTAATACCGAACGCAGTTTTCATCATACCATCTATAAATGGTAATTTAAAGTAAAGTAACGAAATTAAAAGAGTTAAAACAATAACTAAAAACTTAAAATCATTAGCTATCTTAACATAGCTACATAAACAAATATTTTTCATTGAAAAGGAGCTTTTCTTTGAATGACATAAATTTCTTAGTTCGTGGAGACATAGTCCTTTACTTAAGGCATATGCATTTAAATTAATAAAGCGCTCAAAAAGGAAATGTTCCTTTAAATCGGAGCTCTTGCCTGCTGCAGCCTCCTTACATGGCGCCATCTTTGATCAGCTGTTCGTGAAATATTGGTAATTTATCACATTGAATATATTTTCTTATTTTAAGTAACTTGAAACTAAATTAAGAACAAAATATTTACCTTTAAAAAATATATTATTAAAATTAAATGAGTAGTTTTTTTCTGCGTTCAGAAGATATTTCTTATATGTACTATAATTTGGTTGATTCTCATCATTGATGAAAAATATTTGTTAAAATATTAATAAAAAATAAGTAAATAACGTATTTTAAGTGATATTATCGAAAAAAGAGATTTCTATATTTGTTTTTAGAAGTTTTTCAAATAATAAAAAAAAATTAATTCTATAAATTTGTTTAAAGTTTGTTATTAGCAGTTTAAAAGTGCTCTTATAAATCAAATAGTATTATAAGAGCATCATATATTTTTGTAATAACTTTAATTCTGCAATTTTACGACATGTGTTGGATCGTTTTCAAATTTCTTGACGATGACGTACTTGGGCGGTTAAGTTTTGGGTATTGGTAGGTTACATTGTTTGTTATTGTGGGGGGACTTTTGAGTTTTATGAATCTGTTCAACGAAATGAATCAAAACGAACCCTCGGGTTTGACGAGGATGCTTGATGATTTTAGATCGGGTACTAATCTTCAATACAGAAGATCAAGTACAACAAATCTTGGCTATCCTCTGCCTCTGCCTACTCCCCTCACTCCAGGAACACAGAATAGTGTTAAACGACCATTTGATGATACTGTATTAAATGAAAAAGATATGTTGATAAAGAAGTGTAAACAATCAGATTCAATTTTATCTGATAGCTCCCTTAATGATTCTATCAGTGAGTATGTGTTCCATTATTACATTTTTATTTTTCTGTCATGAACTATTAAGAATTGTCTGTAGGTTCTTGGGAGTTTAATCATGTGAAGTCACAGTTGACCCAAGCAAGAGCTGAAATAAAAACCCTTGAAAATCGAATCGCTCAGTTGCATGGACACCGAAAAGAAACCGAACAGCTTTTTGAAAAAGAGAAAAATGCCTTGAAATCGACTGTAGAACAAAACAGAAATAATGTAAGTATATGCATTGTATGTAGATTAATGTTGTCTAATAGTGTTATGATTTTAATTTTGAACATTTTTTGTGGTTGCAACAATTACAGATTCTGAATGAAGATATTTTATTATCTGTAGGATCTGATTTTTGTTCAACATCAGTTTATTTTGATTTTCTATTAGTTTTAGAAACAAGAAATTTAGATTGGTTGGAAAATATTGTTTTAACATTACTGTATTCTGTTATATATAAAATTGTATGTTTTGGAGTTAATCTAACTTTAAAAATTTAATTTTTTGTTGAACCAAATTGCATGTTTTAATATTAATTCAAATAAAAATATTTAGGGCAATAGGTCAGAGAGAGAGAAGGGTTTAAGGAAAGAATCTCCAAAATAGAGAAATTAAGCTTTGCCACCAATGATCTTTACAAAAAGAAGAACTTGTCTCTAAAAGCTCAGATACGACATTATAACACGGTCGTCAAGCCAGTGGTACTCTATGCAACAAAAACTTCTTGTCTTCCCAGCCTAGAGAGCCTTCTGAAAATAGAAAAAAGATTTCTCAGAAGAATCTATGGACCTAGGAGAACACCTGAAGGTTACAGGTTGAGGCCAAATGAAGAAATATATAAGGAAACTACAGATCTAAAAACTGACGCTAGGGTGGGAAGGCTGAGGTTCTATGGCCATATGATGAGGATGAATCCTGAAAGACTTAACCATAAAATTTTTCAGCGAATCCTCAGTCATAAAAATTTAAGCGGGTATTTCAAAAAGGTTAAGGATGATATGGATCAAGTACGGCTAAGAGACCAAGATTGTTTGGACAGAGTTGAATATAGGAAGGGGAATAACGGTTATTGTGGGAAAGAAGCGCTCCAAAAAGGTTGTTGTGTGGTCTGAGGAGAGAAAACGTAAGCATGCGGAGCTCATGAGGGGCATATGGGAGAACAGGAAGCATTGAAATCGTGATATTCGTGTGGTTTTTAAGGCCTGCTCATGAAAAAAAAAAAAATATTTAGGGAAGTTATTGTTACAAGGCCAATGGTTGTGCAGGAAGGTGATGGGGCCGATATCACACTCAACCGCTAGGTTTTCCCCTTAATTATTTTTTTAAATTAAGGGTACCCACTTTGTAGAGGGTGGGTGTGCCCCAGGAGGGTCTCCCAACCCCAAGGTTATCATCCACAGCTAAATAAAAATTACTGGTCATTAGCCAAACTTGAACCTAGGACCACGAACTCTGAAAGTCAGTGCTTACCCACTGAGCTACCCCGTTCCCCCTTAAATACTGTTAATGGAATGTTAAATATTTTGTATTTTGTTAAGATACTTGTTGGTAGAGTTATGAGGGTATTCCTTCTTAGTTTTATTGAACTCGCAAATTCATTTACTTATTTGGCTTAATGATTGCTCCACTTTTTTTTTTTTAGCTGAAAGCTATTTAGCATTGCTTACAAAAATCAAGATGTTGACAGTTTAATTAATAGATAATGCTAGTTGTCCTTAATTATAAATTTGGTATATTATTTATATATTACAGATTCAGCAATTAGAACGAAGAGTTACAACTTTAAAAAGAAGAGAAGAAAAACTCAAAGATGAAATTGCTAATCTTACAGATAAAATGAATTCTGATCGAAGTGAAAAGGAAACAAAAAATATAATGCTTTATGATGAAAACACTGAACTGAAACATAAAATATCTCAGGTATTACTATTTTCATCTTTTTAACGAAGTCTTTCTGTAAGATAACAATATTCTTATTATATAAAGTAATCAGAGTTCAAAAATTTTTTTTTTCTTACTACTGTATTCTCTAAAATGTAGGAATATTCATCAAAACGTTATGAATACAAATAATATGATAAAATTTTGATAAACTTATCAATAGTAACCTTGCATGTGGGAACTGCTCTTAAAATTGAAGTGTTATTTAAAAAAAATAATTTGTTATAACTATAAATTAAACAAAATTTCTATTTTCTCAGTGGTTCTTAATATTAAAAAATATCAGTAATAATAACATTATGCACCCTCAGTAATCTGAACTTCAGTAGTCTGAATTCTCTAGAGATCTGAACTTGAAAACAAAATAAAATAAAATGGAAGAAATAGTGGTAAGAAAGTTTTATTTAAACAATGGAAAACAGAATGCAGATAAAACAAACCAAAATATGCCTATTTTTCTTGGCACACATTCCCTTCCCTTAGTTATATTCCAAGAATCCTTTCTTTCTTTATTTCATGCGACTTTTAATAAATTTTAATTAAAGCTAAGTTTTAATGTGATATTTCTGAAGCTGTAAGATGGTATCAAATTAAAAAAAAAAAAATGATTATATCATCGCTATTATTGCAAAAAGTCATTTCATTACATTGTATAATTTGGAAATTTGATACATTTTCCCTTAGTGAAATCAGAACTTTATGCACATGTTGTAACTATATCTGATATATAAAGGGTTTGTGTCTTGGCACACTTTCTGTGTTTTTTAAATTGATAAATAGGTCAAAATTCACAAAAATGTTCAGTCCATCAAAAAGGTACTAGTGACTTTTCGCAATAAACCGGCAAAATAAAAAATTTCAAGTTGATATTACATTGTTCACATCATTAATATTAGTCTTTAATTCAGAGCTAAAACATAAAAATTGTTTGTGACTTTTAGTTAGAAGATGAATTGTCAGAGAAAGATCAAAATTTCAAGTCTCTTCATGTTGATAATCAGCGTTTGAAGAATGAAATTGAATTATGTAATGAGAAATGTAACATTATCAATTCTGAATTGTTGAAGTTAAGACAAGCAGCATCTGAGCTTGAAACTACAAAAGCTGCTTTAGCTAATGCACATTTAACAATCAAGGTAATATTGGTTATAAATTATAGTAGTACTTGGTTATTTATTGTTATAAATTTTTTTTATATAATAATTTAAATTTTATTCTATTTCAAGGAACTACAAAGTGCCAAAAAAAGCTATGAAGAAATGGATTTAATGGTAAAATCTCAACAGAATAAACTTATGCGATATTCTGAATTAGAAAGGCAATTAAAATCATATACTCAACAGAATTCCAAATTAAAGTAAGTTAAATTTCATTATGCCTAATCCGTTAATGTAGTCTGTTCGGGACTAAATGGTTATCCATCTGATCAAAGTGTATGCTACTAAATAAATTTTGATCCTTTTGAGCTATAAGTTTTTCAGTTGGTCCGTTGGTTAAACTTTATATTTTCCTAACTTTTTGCTTTTATTTAAATAACTCATTTAACGATAATCTTGTTGAAGATATTTGATATTATATATTTGTTGTTATTCAATTAAATATTAACATAGTGATGTAATATTTAAGGGTCAGGATGGTGTACATTGTTTTGAAAATTATTTAATTTATGTTACAATTGACAGTATAATTAATTTTAGGGAGAGCTGCTCAAATGCTGTTCATCTTGAAGCAGTTGTTGAAGAAATGAAGGCACGTTTAACCACTCTAGAAGAAAGAGAATCTGAACTACTCAAGTTAAGAGTTGATCTTGGAGTAGCCGAAGGAAAACTTACAGAATACAGGTTTAATAAATATACATTGTTTAGTTTTCAACTTATATCACTTATAATACTATAATAAGTTTATTTATATTACATATCTTCTTATATATTATTTCTGAAATATATATCCTTTTTCCGGCTCTCAGGAGTGATGGATTTTGACGAATGAAGTATCAATAGAAAGGGAATATCACGTAGAGTGCGCGAATAGTAATTTTTCTTCCTAAATTTACACCAAGACTTAAATTATAGTAAATGTAAAAGTGGGAGGTTTCAAACCACATGATGGTGCCGTCTCAATGAATCGAGGTGTTGCAGATGAATTCATAATTTGGGAATAACTCGGAAAGGACGCAATTTTTGGCTCATTATGCATATGAGTATTAGAAAGCTTACTAAATTTCCTACAAAATGAAAAAAAAATCATCGAAATCGATAACAGTTGTGTCAAACGTTATTGAATAGAAGTTGTGCTGAGCCCTTATTGGATTAAAATAAGACACAAATTAGTTTTGTGCAGAATATTTGCACAGGTCAGCTAGTAGTCTATATTTATATGGTATGGTATCTATACTAATAGATACCAACATATAACAGATGGTAGACCTTAAAGGATATAATTAGGAAGGAAAGTATGGAATTAGAGCTGCTCTACAGGATGGTTTTGATAATCCAAACCAATAGATTGCATAGCCTGTTTGGATTATCGAAGTTTAAATTTAAAACAATATCAACACTTTGCAAAAAAAAAATTATTTTATTTCTGAAAATGATTATACAATGTACATTGAGTCTCATTTTGTTGGCTTTGTTAGTCGACCTTGTTTCATTCGTCCACTCCAAGCAATTATTAAATTCCTTTACAGCATTTTTATAACTTATCTACAATGAAAAATAACATTTTGTATATAGAAATTTTTCAATGATAATAAAATTAATATAAAAAATGTATTCCTTACCTATTTTTGAAATTATCAAACCAACCTTAGCTGCTATTAAAATCTACTTTGTCATCCTTCTAAAAAAATGATTAAAGTAAAACTTTGACTTTTCAGCTAATATATTTCCAGAAATCAGACACTCTTGTGATCTCTGCCACAAAAACCCCATATAAAATTTCCTCAACTTCTCGATGACCGCCGAGTTTTAATTTTACCATTTGAGATACCACAATATGATTTCGACACTACCACGAAGCAAATAAAAAACAGAATAATTTCCATTCCATCCTCGTAAGTCAACTTAACTTTTTTTCTTTCTTGTTCGGATTACCGGGGGGTTCCAGATATCAGGGGTTTGGATTATCGAGAATGTGCTGTACTTAGTGTTTTAGGAATCATATTAGACCCTCTATTCCAATTTATGGACTTGTGTAATTTATTTTCTGGAGGGATGTAAATCTTTGCAAATTTTTTCCTTTCCAGGAACCTTGCAACAGAAGTTCTAGGTGCTGGCTCTGGTGCTGTTCAGCTGTCAGTGTATCTCAGGCAGTTGCAAACTAACAGCCTTCTTGCAGCATCTCAGCAGTCTCAATTGAATAACAAGTAAGCTTATTTTATTATTGAAAAGTATTGTTATTAGGATTTAACAAAAATTTAGCATTGTTTCAACATTTAACCTTGATTTACTAGACTTTTTTCAAGTTTCAATTTATTCCTTTGGAATGAATTTTATACCGTTCTAACCCAGTTTCATAAAATTTGATAATAATTTGCTGCTCTATGCTGACATGTGAAAAATAGGCAACTTTAAACAAGCATATTACAATCCAAGTCTCCCATAGAGTGGCTGACATAAAGATATTGTATTTCAAATAGAGTATTTTTAAGGGAAAATTATGTGATTAAATGTAAATTTTTTTTTCAATTTTATATCACTTATTTGGAAAAAGGTAGGCATTACTAAAAAAAAAAAAAATCGCCTTTTAATAGATTGGTATTTGTACTCACAAATACCAATCTATTAAAAGGCGATTACATTATTATTATCTATTAAGTGTACATGAAGTTTACTTGGAGGCCATATATATATATATGGCATTAAGATTTTATTCGAAATCCTATTTTAATAGAAATATGTATTTAAAAAATTCTGAATAAAGTACGTTTTGTATGATACTGTGCTTCCCCAGCCATAAAGTGATGAAAATATTTAGGATTTTGTTAAATTATCTTTTTTAGGCTGAAGAGTATGGAGGATGCTGAAAAATTGGCTCTTAGTGAAATCAGTAAATTGAAACAGGATATAGAAAAATTAACAGAAGAACTTGCAACTACAAATAATAATCTTAAAAGGCTTAAGAAACAAAATACTCTCATTGCTTGGGTAATTTCATATTTATTTTTTTATTACAATTTTACCATCTTAGTGTTTGGATATTTCATCAGTTGTTTTTAGTCATCTAGTATTATAAGATAATGTGGACTTTAAATGTTAAATTTATTAACACAAGTTCAAATGTTATTGAATTTTTTTTTTGTTCTCTGAAATAAATTTAATTTCTGTGTTCGAAACTTCTAAAGTGAGTTCGTTAATGTAACTTTTTTAAAACAGCACCATGTAAATGTAGTGTAGTTAACTCCCAGGTCCAAATTTATTCATAGAAACAGTTTAACTAATAATTTTTCGCTTTGAAACAGGAACGTAATGATCTCCGAAGTCTTATTGATTCCTGTCAAAAAGAAGTTACTATAAGTGGAAGTCATCTAGTTGGTGATGGAAGAATTGAACTCTTGGAAAAACTTGTTGATGGGTATCGTGAGAGGATTAAACAAATGGAAGCAGATCCTTCTCTCATAACCCCAGGTTTGACTGTTATTTGTTTTACATTACTTAAAATTTATAATAATAGAATAAGTTAAAATAATGTATTTAGTTGATGGTAAGGTCAATTAATAATGAAAAATTCTTCTTCAGGGGTTGTCTTATTAGGAAAAACATTTTCATCAAAGAGATGGAAGCAAAAAATACAGAAAAACAAATCTGAGACCGATCTATTTAGTTAATAAAATGCATGTATCTATAAATTGCAATTTTTATTTTTGAATTATATAAAATAAAAACCGACAAGAAAATTGACAATTTATGAAAATTCGTTTCAGTTTTAAAAAAAAAGATTTGTGGCAAATAGTGTTGGAAGGATGGAAGATATTATTAGAAAAAGATGTTAAATTTTGTTCATTACTTTGAGAATATGATTTCAAGTATTCTTTTGAAATCAAAATTTTCGGGTTTCACGTAATGTTCTATCTCAAATGTTATGCAAATGAATTATTGCTATAGAGGTTAAATTTTTAAAAGTGAGCTATAGTCATGTAGTTATGACTTGAAGCTATGCCAAATGTTTCTCGTTAATTGTTTTATGTTGTTCACTGGTATTTTTAAATTATCTATGCTTTATGTTAAGTATATGGTTTGTAATGCTTGCCTTATTGACTAACAATAAGTTGGGATTAGAATAAAACTTAATGAAAAACGGAATGTCTTCTTTCTATATAGTGTCAAGCTTATAAATATAATTATTTAAACTATTTGCAATTTAGTCTGTTTTAAGCAAGAAAGAGATTTCTGAGACAGGGCTGGATTGGAGTCTATCCTAGCGTTATCTTGCCATTTGCATAGTGCCGCTTAAATCAAATTGTAGTAATCTGATCTAAAAAATTAATAAAGGTAGAAAAATATCTGAGAACTAATATTTATTAGAGGGATTTGAACAAAAGGTTAATTATATTATATTCAGGAAACTTTTAATCATTCTAATATTATTACTCTAATTCCTTATGTGGAATCTTAAAATAAATGGTTATTCTTAAGTTTTATTTTAATATTTTTTATTATATTTATGTAAATTAATTTTGAATTTATCTTTCTTCCTTCGTTTAAATTATAATCATGGATGATAAATATTCATTTTTATATATTCAAATATTCATGACTGACCGCCTGCCTTCAGTCAGTTCTTGAAAGCCTTCAATGCTCGAACCATGCCCTGAAGATGACCCACATGTTTGGGTTGAAACGTTGACACAAATAAAAAATTAAATTTTTTAAAAAAAAACTGCATCCTGAATATTGATCACCCATGATATATAGAACAATCGACTAGCTTCCTTCAATCATTAAATTATAATCAATAGTATTAGTTTTAGTCTAAATTAGTTTTATAATTTTTTTCTTTTACATCTATCTTTTGCCTTTGTACGCTTTTCTCTCACCCTTTCTTTCTTAAAACCCTGTCCATCACCTAATGTTTTTATTTTTTTTGTGAATTATTTTTTCATAATCTATATCTGTGACTTCAAGATCTGTCAGCTAACAATCAGACTATTTCCAAAACATCTTAATACACACTTCATCACACCCTCTAAGCACAAATCCAATTTGATTTTATAAGGAAATGACAGCAAGACATATTCGAGGACTAAATGAAACCTCTTCAGAAATTCTAAATATAATATTCCCAACTACAACTACATTTTTGTTATGTCTTTGAGATATTTTGTTAGTGGTTACACACAAAATAAATTTATGCTATTTTGACAGTTATAGGAATAGTTGACAATGAGCATATTTTGGTTCTCTGCTTGAAGTATATAATACAGTGAATAACATATCATGCATTACAACTACATATTACCTATCATTTTTTTGATTGATTTATGTTATTTCAAATATATTTTATCATGTTCCAGTTTTATATTTATTGGGTTAGAGACCATAGTTTGTTGTCAAATGTTTTCCTGCAAAATCTTAATTTTTCTAGGATTGTTTTCTAACTGTATTTTTTCAATTGATAATTTTATTTAACATTTTATTTCATTTAGGTTTTATTCTTTGGTAATTGGTTGTTTAATGCTCAATTGATTAGAATATTATTTTTAGCTTGTTTGCAGGTTTCCTCATTGGCTTTCTAACTCGGTTTAAACAATGCTTTTAAACAGTACATTAATACACTTCATAAGATGAAACAGTTTTGAAGCATATTTCGCTTTGAGTGTTTGTAAATTCCTGGCAATAAGCATGTTAAATATATATATGAAATTCTAAGTTTTAAATTATAAACCTATATAATAAATATGTTGTAAAATAAACAAACTTCCTTTAATCAATGTGCCACATTGTTATTTATTTTATTTTTTTGTTATAGTTGGATCCAACAGCATGTACACAATTGAGAAAGAACATTCTACAGCAGAAATAGAGAAATTGAAGAAAGAAAACCAAGCATACAAAGAAAAGATTGAAAAATTAGAATTTGAGATTGATCATAGATCTTTGAAAGGAGATTTTAATACACTTAATACCAGAATACTTCATTTTAAGTAATTATTTTATGTGCTTCATTTGTTTATATCATTCATTAGAACTACCATTACAAATAATGGAATGTAATTTTTCAAGAAATATTTAATGCAATCTCTAACTTCATTTTTATGTACAATATAAAAGCAGTATTGTATAGCAAATTTTCTTATATATTTTTTTTCATTTCTAGGATGAATCCCACTGATGAAGCTGTAAAAAACAGACAAGATGAACTAGCTGAACTTCGAAAAGAATTGTTTGAAACCAAAGAGCGACTAAATCTATATCTTGAAGGAAATGTGAATGATATTACTCAGCAGATAGCACAAAAAGAGGATCTTTCAAAAGAAATATTAGGTGAGATTCGCATAAATATTGATAAATTACATCTTAACTCTTCATTTAGAACCTATATTCTCTATTTGGTTAATCTTCATGGTGGAGGAGAACATTTTTAAATCAGATTCAGGACTATCGAAATTGAGAATGAAGCTTAGAGTCGGATGTCCACTGGATTGTACATCTTCTTAGTGACTATGGTGTTTAGTGGTTTCTTTATACAAAAAGAAATTATGATATCCTGTTTGGAGTCAAATACCCAGATATTTTTTGGAACTATTAAAGATACCAATGGATGTCCTGGAGGATTGGTGTAAAGAATATCAAATAATGTAGTGATTTTCACTAAGAAGAAAAGATTAAAGGGTTAGGCTTCCCAAATTGAATAGGTCCAAATTAACTTAAGCAAGGAAGAGAAACATTAGGGAGTTACTCTGAACCACACATTACAACATTTATACCTGAAACGACATATTAAAAATAAAGCACAGAGCAGCAGGTAAAACTTGGTGGCTCTAAACAATGGAGATTGGTTGTATATCACAACCTCTACTTAAAAATACACAGAATACAAACAGAGAAGCTACTAAGATTAGCCTGGTTAATGTTAATAGGTGCTATGAATACCAATGCGATAGCTGCTATGGAAGTTACCCTCAGTATACCCTCTGCATCCAATGGATATGGAGACTGAGACACAACACTTGAATATCATTTATAGAATTGTGAAACAAGGCCACCCCTAATTCAAAGTTGAGGGTGGAAGAATACTGGAAACTAAATCTGCAGACTGCAAAGAATAGGATGATTGCTATTCAAATTTATATAGACAGGAATAAGAGAGGAAAGACACGGGAATCAGGAAAGGAGTAAGACACACCAATTATATTAGCCTACCGAATCATGTTTAATCTATTTAATTGATTGAATTTCTGTGCCATCTAGCCGGATTAAGCTATCTTCAAAGGGCTGACTTCCTTGGTGTGAGCATATCCTGAATGTTCAAGGCTTAAGAGGTATCTGGAAAAAGAAAATTGAAAAAAAAAAAAAAAGAACTGCTAAACTGAATATCTGTACTTCAGAATTTCAATATGAAATAGTTATTTTACAGTTACTGTTTACCTTCATGTGGTTTGATTTTGTTTAGCTAGTGCATCTATTCTTAATTAATAACATTTAAATGATCTATTATTTTACAGTTAATGTAAAACTTCAATATTCAATATATGTTTTCAGTTCTATTAATCTTCATTATGTTACAGAGCTTCGAGAGAAGATTAAAAGTCAGGAAACTGTTAATCAACGGTTGAAAGAAGTCTTCAAGACAAAAGGACACGAGTTCCGTGAGGCTATTTATGCTTTGCTTGGCTACAAAGTGGATGGACTTCCGAATAGCCTGTATCGACTGTCGAGCCTCTATGCTGAGTCCCAGGAACAACACCTTATTTTTAAGGTAATTATAAAGCATATTTATCATATAAAGCATTCCCAGGCCAAGTGATCTACTTGGTGTGTAAATACGAAACCATAATTTTTTAAATAAAAAATATACATTTATTGAATGAAACTGGACGATAACGTCCCCACCCTGAGATTGACAGGAAAGTGAGAGTGACCCCTGTGTCTAATAGCATAGCTCCTTTGGTGCTCCAGATTTTGGGTGTTGAGCACAGGGCTAATAATCTTATCCCGTAAAAAACAACAACAGGGTAGAGACGTTATGTAAAAGATTGCCAACCATTCTGATGAAAAGGGAGTGATTGTGATCGCGTTGGTTATTATAAACCATTTGCTCCCTGGATATCATCTACATAAGAAGAGAACCAAACGACTACAGCCTATCGCCTAGAACAGCCCTTATACTGCGAGAAGACTAATGGCGGAAGTCAAAAGAGTCAAAAGCCATAAAAAAAAACAACAAATAAATAAAACTATAAAAAATCATTTTGTTCATCTAACTATACATTTTTCCCATCTCTCTGGCAATTTATTAATGAATACCATGCCAGAAAAGCTGTTACCCTTTTATGGCGTATCAGTTATGATGCCATTTCCATAAGAAATGAAGTGCAGTGTAGTTGTGCAAGTCTGTGCTCCACCGATTCAAGTAAATAGTAGTTGGATGGAGCCAAACCTGGTGAGTAATCCTTATGCGCTAATATTTCCACTAAATGTGTGATTCATTTCCTTCACTGGCTCTGCTGTGGTTTTTTTTTTTTTTTTTTTTTTTTTTTTTTTTTTTTTTTTTTTTTTTTTTTGGCATTACAGACATTATCGATCTATTGCAGCCTTAACAAGCCTGCTCCATCTCTGCCTTTCTCGGGCTATTTCTTTCCAGTTATCTGCAGGCACCTCTATTGCATTTTGTTTGATTCGATCTATCCATTTGCTTTTTGGCCTTCCACATGATATTTTGTTTACTATTGATGTGTTCATTATCGCGTGGAGGCTTCCAGGAGGATTGTTTCCAGCTATATGGCTCATCCTTCTTAACCTCCCTACCTTCATATCATGAGATATTGACAGACTAGTTTCTGTAAGCAGCTATTTTAAAGATCTTTCTTTTCCATTTATTAGTAATCTGATCCCAGATCGCTCCAGTTATTGTGTGGAGGATTTTTCTCCTAAATTTTTCAATACTTTTTCCTGGGGCTCTGTTTAGTGTAGTTTCCAGGTCTCACAGCCACATATTAGAACTGGTTTTATTATAGCATTATACACCCTTAATTTGAAATTTCTTGATATTTTGCAGGAGATTTCAATACCCTTGAATGGTAGAAGAAGACTCGGTTTGCGTGTTTGTTGTTTGATGGTCTATTTCTGACCATTGGTTATTCATTCAGGATATTGTTGAGCCGTGGTATTTAAATTTTTCTACTTGGGAACGGTTTCCCTTCTATGCACTTCTATGGGATGGAATTTTCGGCTTATTATCATATATTTTACTATCGTATATATTCAAAACTAATTCTTCCTGAAATTCATAATTTGGTAGAAAAAACTCGACATGTTTATACATGAAACTTATATTGTTGTGAGTTAGAAATTTTTGCCAGCTGTTGAAAAAAACAAAATGGTGCCAATAATGCGGTTTAACTAAGCTAACTAGAGTCATCTATGTTAAAAATTTGGTTTCATATTTACACACCTGCTAAGTTCTAAAAAGGTATAATAAAAGGAGCAAATGTTTAGTTATTCATCTTTCTTACAAATTATTAATAAATAATATATATTAATGAATTTGCATGAGCAAACGTTTAGTTATTCATCTTTCTTGCAAATCATTAAAAAATAATATATATTAATGAATTATCTTTGGTTTATTGCAAAAAGTCACTAAGTGCATTTTTGATATAACAGTATTTATAGTTTGTAGAAAAGTATGTATAATAGGCAATGAATAGATTAATAAAACCCTTTAAATGAAAATATAATGTAATATAAGACAAGCATTATCAATTGTCAAAAAGAGTTACAATAAATGTACTATTTTCTGATTTCATCGAAAGTAAATTCACCATATTATTTAGTGGTTTGATTTTTTAAATTGTTACTTAATGACTTTTGGATATTAACTGATGTATATGCGAAAAATGTAGGCACAGCAATAATAATGCAATATGTCATGATGTAGATATACAGGACCATTTTGAGGAAAATTTGCTGCAATTGTTAATCCCAGCACAAGTTATTGTTTAAGTTTTGATCAAGAAAATTTTAGACGTTTTAACCTTAATTTAGTCTGTGGGCCAGACTTTATTTTCAATTGCTGCTGAAGTTGCACATTAGGACTATCTTCACTTTGAAGCAGGTTATAGAGAGGTCTATTGAGAAAGGGAAATAGCTCTCCTTCTGTTTAGTGCATTGCAAAAGAGTTTTGCAAGGAATCTGAAAGGAAAACAAGCTTTTCTGAAAGACTAGTAGATAATAGCTCAATCAAAAGTGCGAGGCACTAAACAGATAGAGAGCTATTTTCTTTCTTGATGGACTTCACTATAACCTTTCTTAAAGTGAAGATTCAATTTGCAACTTCTGTTCCAATGTGCAACTTGAGTTTCTCAATCCATATCGCTCTGGCAATCGACAATATTTCTTATTCTAGCTTCTACAATTCTCGAGTTGAGTTTCTTTGGTAAACTAAACAGGAATGAATCTCGATGGGTATTACATTTCCTAGTATCTCTTTTCTTGTAAAGGGACAAAAATGCAGTCCTTTCATGTCATTTTCTAATACATTTATTGCCTATGTACGCGCAAAACAATGCGAAGCAGTTCCGGAGAAGTACATACAATTTAAATCACCTCTAAGAATCAGTAAATATACAAAAAAAAAGTGTTAAATTGCAAACGTTAAATAAAAAAATCAAGATATTCAGCAAAGTATTTTTGAATTAAGTTTTATTATTATAATTATATTATTTTAAAAATAGAGACCTTCTTAAACGACCTCTGTTTAGAATAAAAAAAATTAAATTCAATTGTCTCTAGGTCAATCTCTGTATCAAAAAAAAAAAAATTCAAATTTTTAGCCACCTTAATCAATTTGCTCAGAATTGGTTAATTAAAAAAATATCCCAAGTTTTTCTGAAATAGCACTAATAAAATTCGAAAATAATGAATTAAAAAGTATCAGTTTACATTTGGCTAGTGTCTCTGTATCAAATTCATTTCATTGTGTACCTTATGAGATTAAGATGTTCATATTTCAATAGGCCAGTTTGGCAATTTATCTTTTTTTTCTCAGTTTGACATTTTGAGGACTATTTTCTCCATCATCAGAGTTTTTAATTCCTGAATTTATTTCTGTTCCATATTCCCATTGTCTACGCTGTTTACATATGTTGTCTCTATCTTTCAGAGTTCGAAAAAATTGAACTGTTTTTTAAAATGCCTAAAGAATGTTTATGTTTGATAAAAATGCTTTCCAGGAATTCAGTTTCTTTCTTACTCAGAGGAATAAAAAAAATTTTTATTAGAAGAACTGAACAAAAACATTTTTAAAAAGGAAACAGAAATTTCTAATTACTTGATTTTGGTAATTCTGGTTGTTTTACAACTTTGCTGTTTGTTATTCAGATGACTGGCAACGGTATGGAACTTCTAGAGACTGAGTATAGCAAAACGCTCGCTGAGCTGGTTGATGACATTCTTCTTCAACATCACTCAATACCTGTATTTTTGTCAACTCTTACTATTGATCTTTTTAAGAAACAAAGCCATTCGATGACTATGTCTGTAACTTCTATTGCGTAATAATCGACTAGGAACTGGTTGTCATTAGTCATAGTTAAAAACGTATGGCATAGATTATTGTAAAAATATTTTTTATCTTTATTAATTTTAAATATGTAGTTGTTGATGATTAGCGTTTTGAATGCTTTTACTATCAAATATAATTTTATATTAACTGAAGATGCAATATGAATTGTACTAAAACATTGCATTTACTTGTACTGAATATAAATTTGTAGATACCATTCTTGTTAAAAAAATTAATTTATTTTTTCTAAATTCTTTGTATTATTAAGCTTGTTACCAGCAGAAATGAAATTGATAACAAATTTCTCTTATAATTTTTAAAATTTAATAGGAATATGTAAATCTCTAGTTTTATTATGTTTAATTCTTTTTGTATTGTAAAATTCAGATAGTTTTCTTACATTGTGACTTCATGGATTTATGATTGATGTAAATATTGTAAATTTGTATGGATAGAGTATATAATATTCAATAAATAAGAAATGAGAGTATATAGTTGGAGTATTTTTTATTATTTATGGTTCATTCCTTGTTATTAAATGTGCTTTAAAATATACTTAAAAAAACACAATAATTATTTATTTTGTATATGAATATTCCTATCACCCTCGAGCTGTTCTGTGGCATAACCATAAACTATACTTGAAGGTTTTCTATTGTTCTTGAATTACTCATTTTTAATTGTGGGTTGATGGTTGACTGTAGTGAATAATAGAAGAGAAGGATGGTTGGAGTAATCTGTCAAAATAAAAACATTGTAAAAATAAGTAATTATATTTATTTTTATATTTACGACGTTTTGACCTTCATTGTGGCTAAGAAAACAACCAGATAACAGTAGGTATGAGAAACTATAAACATTGAATAATAAAGAATTAAAATAAAAAAGATTAAAGGTATTGACTAAAAAATGCAGGTAGAAAAAAGTACAATGAAGTAGATAGAGTCACCAATAAAGTAGGTAGAATAATAATAGTAACAGAGAAATAATAATAACAGCAACAAAGTACGGACTAATGAAATAAACATAATCAAAATAATGTAAAATAACAAATGAAAAAAGGTAATCCTAGAATAGAATGTAAAACAGAGAAAGGAATATGAAGTTATGCGAGGAAATAACAGATATAAATAGAAAATTGAGATATTGTAAAATCCATCAAAATATACTGACTACGTATAAGAGAATAAAAAGTTAAAATAATATAAAAGAGATGAATGAGCTAATGTATCAATATATACAAAGTAGAGATGGAGATATGGAAAATAGAACGATGGGAAGGAGGAAAAAAAAGAGAAAAATAAGATAAGAAAAACAGACTTGGTCAATCGAAGAAGCGTGGAATGACAGAGGTATTGTTGCAGGAAATAGGGGAGCTACAAGATAGCACCATCTGCAACGGTTAACTGAATTATGTGAACTAAAGCTCAGGAACATATATAATGGATGAGAGATTTATTATAGATAAATTCTGAGTTATTAAATGCGTTTTAACTGTATGATAAATGTGAAAAAGAATTAAAATAAAAGAGGTAGAATACTGTAATATAGTATATATTAAGGATGATATAGTATAATAATGTAACATAAAATAAATTAAGGAGATAATATAATAAATTTCAAGTAATAATGGAGTATATCTGATCTACATGAAATGTAAGATTAAAGAAAATAAAAAATGAATTTCTTTAATGAGAGTAAATAAAAAGAAAAATGAAAGTTGAACGAAAATGAGTAAGTCTTTTATAAACCAATTAAGGAGATGGTGTAATGTAGAGGTAATGAACACTAAAGAATAATGGAGTATTAATGATCTATGTGAAACGTGTGATGAAAAAGAATTAAAAATAAAGAGGAAGTTTAATGTAATATAGTATAAAATAAGGATAAATATAGCATAATAATATAATATAGAATAAATTAAGGAGATAGCATAATGCAGAGATGATAAATATTAAGTAATAATGAAGTATGACTGGTCTACGTGAAATGTGAGATAAAGAAAACGAAAAGCAATTTATTTGATAAGATTAAAGAAAACTAAAATGGGTTAAATTAAAGAGAAATAAGTAAGTTGTCAGCGGAAAATAAAAAGAGATTGCTATGGATGTTTTAATAAATTCAGAATTTGGGAATAGGCTAAGGATAAGTTTTGTATGTCTGTTTGTATTTAAGTTTTTAGATTCACTGTTTTAGATTAGAGGGTTTTGGATGTGGAGGGTTTCAGAGATGAGTCCTTTGTCATGGTTAGGGATGGAGGCAAGGATGGAAGTTTTGTCGAAATAAAATATATGGTTTAGGGAGAGAGAATGACTGGATAATTTGGAGGCGGTAAAATTACGAGAGGGTACAGAATATTTATGGTGGGTGATGTGCTATTTTAGAAGATTTTTGGTTTCACCAATATAAAATGAAAAGCAATTAGGGGTTGAACACGGAATACCGTAAACGATATGAGAGCGGTGTGAAAGAGGATGAGGATCTTTTAGGGATGAATGAACGAATGAATGAAAATAATTTTATTATTCTGGGACCAGTGTCCCTTTAGAACAAATACAGCATATATAATAATATTCTGGTCTGTCGATAAAATACAATTAAATATTTACAGGATGGTTAGCAATAGAATAAAAGTACAGATAATAAAAAGATATAAAAACGTAAATAAATATAAAATAAACAGAGAAAGTAAAATAAATAAACAAAATATCAATAAATCACAAAATAATAAAAGTATCTGATGGTACTTTGAGATTCTTACGACTTAGATTTTGAAGTACATTTCGTGATCAACTGGATTGGGAATGAAGTAGGTGTTTGAAGAGGAGAGATTTGAAAGAGGATACTGACTTTGCGTATCGGATATCATAGAGGATAGAATTCCAGAGGGAGACAGCTTGAATTAAAAAGGATTTATCTAACGCCGCAGTTCAGTGAGGAGGAGTATAGAGTAAGGATCTGGTGGGACGGGATTGAAAGGAACACTTGTATTGTAGGATCTGTGGAATATAGGAGGGTCGCAGAGTTCTAATAGCCTGGTATAGGAAGGAAGCAAGGAAATGCTGACAGCGGAATGACGGATAAAGCCACTTCAACTAGGTTTAAAACTGGGTAATATGCGTATCCATTGAGAACCAGAAGATAAAAGCGTTTTGAGCAATTCATTAGACGTTTAAGTTAAGCTTTAAGAGTCCACCATACACCATACAACCATAGTCGAAGTGGAGGAAAACAAGAGATGAAACCAGAAGTTGAAGGGTTTTGAGTGGAAGATGGTAATGTAGGTGGTTAAACTGTTCAGGGTGGAAATGGTATGGCGGGAAATTTGGGAGATGTGTGGTTTCCTGGAGAGGGTTTGATCGAGGGTAGCCAAGGTTTTTGGCCAATGGAAGGAATAATTGAAGAGAAGGATGGTTGGGATGATCAGTCAAAATTAGTAAAAATAAATAATCATATTTAATTTTATATTTTCCGACGTTTCAGCCCGAAGTTCAAGTTTAAGAAAAGAACCAGATTCATTTATCGATTTCTTTAATCTCACGTTCCACGTAGATCAGGAACACTCCATTATTACTTAATATTTATTATCTTTGCATTATACTATCTCCTTAATTTATTCTATACTACATTATTATACTATATATTATCCTTAATATATACCATATTACAGTATACTATCTCTTTAATTTTAATTCTTTTTCGTTTTCTTTAATCTCATGTTTTACGTTTATTTCGGTAATACTTCATTATTATTTAATATTTATTATCTCTGTTTTATACTATCTCCAGATACCTTATTTCTATTCTCTTTCAATTACACATTTATTTAATAACTCAGAATTTATGTATAATAAATCTCTCGTACATTATATACGTTATTGTGCTTTAGTTCACATATTTCAGTTAACCTTTGCCGATGGCGCTATCTAGTAGCTCCCCTATTTCCTGCTACAATACCTTTGACTTTCCACGCTTCTTCGATTGACCAGGTCTGTTTATCTTTCTTGTCTTAGTTTTCTCTTTTTTTCATCCTTCCCGTCGCTCTATTTTCCATATCTCCATCTCTATTTTGTATATATTGATACATTTGCTCATTAATTTTTTTTACATTTTAAATTTTTATTCACTTATACGTAGTGAGGATATTTTGATAGATTTTACAATATCTCAATTTTCTATTTATGTCTATTATTTCCTAATATAAATTCATATTCCTTTCTCTGCTTTACATTCTATAAGATTGCCATATTTCATTTCTTATGTTACCTTATTTTGATTATAAGACCTCATTTTTTAGTCTATACCTTTAATCTTTTTAATTTTAATTCTTTATTATTTAATGTTTATAGTTTCTCATACCTATTGTTATCTGGTTCTTTTCTTAGCACCGACGAAGGCCTAAGGCACTAGCGGATCCAGGATTTAATTTTTGGGGGGGGGCTTCAGCCCGAAACCTTTTTTTTCATAAAAATAACGATAATTACTTTGGAAAAACAGAAAGAAACTAACTATCTATATGAAATGATGTTTTAGTTTCCCTTAAGTACTTTTAAATGCAATTACACGAACAATAATACTTTAAGAGGTATTTTTTAATTTTTTTTTCCCATAAATCATGGTTATATTTTTCCATTTTGAGAGGGGCTTCAGCCCGAAAGCCCCCCTCTCCCCCCGTAGATCCGCCCGTGGCCTAAGGGGAGGATGAGGTAGAAAGCCGCAATTGAACTGTAAGATCTTCTGACTTATATCCAACGTAACATGTGGTCTTGTAGAGCTGTGATGAAAAACGACACCTTTTCGGTTAGCCAATTCTTGTCGTTTTTCAGCCATGGCGGATTTCACTTATTAAATTGATTGTAATATTTTGCAGAATTGATCTATCCACCTTTTTTAAGTAGCTCACAGTACACTTCACCTTTCTAGTCCTACCAAATGCACAAAATACTTTCTTTGTATGAATTCTTACAATTCGATTAGGACTTTCTACCTCATTCTCCATTTTACCCAGACCTAGTTCCATCTGATTATTAACTGTTTCGCTCGTTAAAAAAAATCTTTCTATGATAAATGCCACAAACCCTAAAGCGAATTAAAAACTCACCTCCATTAATATAGATAATAAAAACAGAATGGTTCATATATAAAACAATAGATCAATCTTAAAAAACAAAAATAGTCTATTGATTTTACATAAAAAAAAAAGGAAGGAACTAGTGGGAACCCCTAATATCCGCATGGTATGCTCAAATACCATGAATGAGGTACCGTTGGATTCAGAATTTCACTGTGTTTAGTGAATCTTATTCTCCGCTTTTGTTTTTCTTTCTAAAATAAATAAAGTCGATACAAACATTTTGCTAGGCTTCAATACTGGAGCGGTGGTAGGTCTTTAGATCGATGCGGGACAAATTGGACCTTGAAGATTTTGATGCGTACAACAAGACCCTGATAGTTCCTCCGGAACTATCGGATCCTGCATTTTTAAGCCCAAAAACGTACTGTTTTCGAGATAAAGCAAACCATGGGGTTCGCATCCACACAATCTGACGTTAATTGTAGTATTGACATTAGATACATGTCTCATTTCGTCGACTTGAGGTCTCTATGATCGAGACAGGAGGAGTTTA